AAAAATGCATTTCATATGACAAGTGTATGGATAAAGAACAGGACAGGAGTGGTACTTTTTCACTCTTGATAAACATTTGTCACTTTGTGTTTTAGAAAAGTCATTGAAATGTAAAGGGGAATGCCTAACATACCTGAATACTTTTTCTTTATTGTTAGGGTGAAAGAGGAGACCCTGGACAAAAAGGGGAAGCTGGAATTCCAGTAAGTCAATGGGAGAAGAAGAAAACAAATAACATCTGCGTTACTGCTGGTGCATTCTTCATTGAAATGGTGCAGTATAGATATGGAGCAGCATAAGCAGAGACACCATTTCTGATGCTTTAGCAAAGCTGAATATGACATGTAATAAACTCCACAGTGCAATCAGTCATTCTCTTACTGGTTTACCAAAATAAGATTTTCCCTCAAGCACTTTTTAACTTTAGCTATGTTTAAAAATTCCACTAAATTTCATTAAATAAGCATATACAGAAATTATCTCAATCCTTTTCAGTCTACTCTCTACCACATACAGACTTTTGGAATCAGTGGTCAGTAAGTCTGTTGAGTAAGTGGACAGTAATCCCATGTGTTGCTGTATCATTTAGATCTGTCAACCAGGCTTGACTGAATGTGGTTTAGTTAACTTATTCAGTTGCAATCTCTAGACTATCTAAATAGCTTTGCCACTGAATGGTGCCTTTTTACTTCCCAGAGTGGTTTAAAATACAGTCTTTACCAATTAAGGATGCCCCACTGAGCATTCTGCAAATCTTTATTTTCTCAGATGATCTGGTTAGCTTCTCCGCAAGGTTGTGGGAGAAGGTCACAGTGTGAGCCCTGATGCCCTCCATGTGCAGTTGCTAGCCAGTTCTTCAGCTGTTGGTCAGATTTTACACATGTAGAATTTTGTCAGCTGCATTAGCAAAACTGTAGATTTTATGCTGATGTAGCAAAAGGGAGTATGTGTTTCTTCCTTTTTTTTTTTTTTTTCTTTCTAGAATGGACAGCAGCATGACTATGTTTGCCAAATAGCTCTCTCAAGCTACAGTTTGGGCATCAGCTGAGTTGCTTGATTAGTTGTATAGCTGAATAATTGCTTTGGCTCTTCTTTTAGAGTTGCAGCAACAGAAAAAATAAAGAGGTGATAGGAGGGAAACCCTGTCTTCTCCCTAACGGCCTGCTCCTGCTATTGTAATGAAGCAAGCATGTTACACTTAATTTTAAGGACAACAGTTCTTTCACATGCAGCTATTATTAGATCCTCCATGTGTTACAATAATGTTTTTTTCCTGTTTAGCTTCCATAAAACAGTCTTACATTTTTTTTGCATATAATGAAGAAATACATTAAACTAATTTGTAATGTTTCCTAGGGTGTACTTCTTCATGTCCCTGAAAAAGGTGAAGAAGGGGTAATAGGCTTCCCAGGACAAAGGGTGAGTCACTCATTAAAGGTAAAATTCACCCAGATGAATTTGCAAGTCCAAGCTGAGACTTTGCCTTCAGGAGCAAAACACAGATTAACAAACTATAGAAATGATAGTTCTTCAGCCCACCAGGTGCCTGATACAGGAAAGCAAAAAGGTCATTTTGAAATTATAGTGGGAAGAGGCCTCTCTGGGCCTCACAGGTATGCCTATACCATCTTTGGGAAGCCTTGTGTATTTCTTATACCTAAAGCTGTGCTCACTAGCCAGAGCTACTGTGCTGGTCCTCAGCACAGACTCTACTCCACTGTTTCCGTCTTAGGTCTCTTCAGACAATGGCTGACAAACACAAGTTTGGTTCTGGTTACTTGTGACCCCAGAAAAAAAAAATAGCTTAAATACTACTACCTTGTAGCATCAGTGGACGCTTTGGCAGGGGGCAGTGTTTCTAAAATGTTTAAACAGTGTGAAAACAGTACTGAGCACGTATTTGAAAAAAAATCTCAGCCATTTTTAAAATCTTCATGGTCAATTTACAATGTATTGATTAAGAGATAAAAATCAAATACCAGATTAGATTTCAGACCTCCTCTGTTTGCACCATACATGAATATTATTGGAAAAGCATCTGAACTCTGACTGTTAGTGTTGCAGTTTCAAGCTGTCAGATTTATTCTATCTCAGGAATAATAATGGTTCTTCACCATTAGGATGTTAGGATGATACTTTATTATGCTACTTTTATTGTGCCTTCATAGGGACTGCCTGGCATCAATGGTTTTCCAGGACTTGGTGGAGAAAGAGTGAGTATCTCATACCAGACTGTTGTTTCTAACACATATGTAGACAATCTGTCTAAAAAGTAAACTGTAGAGGACAAACCCTGCCTGTAATTACACCAGCTGTAGCCTAACAAATATCATCTGGATTCAACCATCATTGTAGTTTTGGGTCAGTTCTTTTTCTCATCAGTGAAAAAAAACATGGTCCTATAATTAAAGTTTGTTTTAAGAGCACAACAGGGAGGTGTCATTTTCATTGTTCCCATTACTGTGACCATGATTTCTGTAATTTTATTCCGACATGCAGAAACTTACTGTTTTGAATAGCGTTGGGCATTATGGTTAGACTTATATATCACAAAAGAAGAAGAGAAATAAGAGAAGAAAAATGATAAAAGTACCAGGTAAATCTCTGTCTCCATGGAAACACAACCAAACATTTAAAGTAGCATTCTGTCAGACAGAGAAGAGCTCATATTTTCTGTTTGGTGTCAGAAAAAGGCTTCCTCCGTCAACCTTAGAAATCACTTCCATGAGGTATTCAAATAGCTGTGGTGTACTCAAATGCATGACTTTTCCATGTTTCTCCATACTTAGTTGTGTAAGGATTTGTCCTGCCACCAAGGCATAACAATTACAACATGAAGCACATGGGACATGAAAGTACATGAAATATGAAAAATAACAGCTATTTGGTCCAGTCACAAAACCTGTTGGTGTGGAAGGGAATATGCTATCAGTAATACATACGTGGAGAGGCTGGTGCAAACCCCATTAAAGCCCATTGATTGACCTTAACATAGGCTCATACTCCAGTCAGGAATGGTCAGGGACTTCCCCTTCCTGAGGGTGAATCTTGGCAACATTTTTAGCAGAAGATACATTTCTTTTGATGGAGTATCAGTGTATAACGTGTATAAGACGGGACAGCCTACTCGATGTGCTGTTCACAACAACCATCTTTTTGTTGCTTTTTGAGTGATTTGATTCTTAAGAAAGAAGGAAGGTTGGTTAAGTCTGCCTGCGCACAGATGAAGCTGCGTTTAATTAGGAAGTTGCTGGTTTCACTTTAAGTCCGCCAGCTCCACCTAGTGTAGAGATTTTACACCTGAGTGAAGAGACTCCTTTCTTCATGGTCTGATGTACAGTTGCCATTATGGAAAGGACTTTGAAGCATGCAGTTTAATTTGTGACATAGACCCATAGAATCACAGAATGGTTTGGGTTGGAAAGGACCTCAAGATCATCTTTCTGTCAGCTGTGGTATTATAATGCTTTAAAACTGCATAAGTGACTTATAGAGTGACTTACTAATATTCAAGCTCTGTGAAATTTGGGAGGTACGGAATTTTAAATAAACTGGTTTCTAATCTAACTAGTATGAATTATACAAATCTATTGGCTTCAGTAAAACTGTGTTAATTGGTATCTGTTGATGATCTGGCCACTGTTTTCTAAGAGTTTACCTTTTAAACACTAGCCTTTTTCCAGAGTACATATGAACATTTTCTATAGTCAACAAAAGTTGTCAAAGAGCCAAGTAAGGCACACAGAAGAGATCACCTCTTTTATATCAACATCACTGAAATCTGCACTTTGCTCTGTGTACTCCAGCAGCTGAAATAGTCTCTCATGTAGGAGGTACTGTGCTTTACTACATGTGTTTTAATTCACGTGCTTCGGATTTCAAGACTTTTAAAAGAATGAAGTGGGCGGGACCTTAAGTATTACAACATTTGCTGAGGCGGGGATGAAAAATTTTCTTTGAGGTACAGCATGCTCCAGGAGTGGGAGAATTGGATGAAGGCACCTCAGGGCTGGTCCTGAGTTCTTCTCATTCAGCCAGGAAATCCCTCTTCGGCCAAACAGGCTCCAGCTGCCTGGAAAACAGTAAAAGGGACCTGTGCACTTCAGTGCTGTTTCACTGTTCACTGTTTACATTCCATGTAAAATATGTCCACTCCTAATGATTCAGACTCATTTAGTCTTCTTGCAGCAGGTTGGTGTGTTCTGGCTGCCTGACCCATGTGTCTCAGGGTCAGCTGGCATGGAAGGGATCCCCTTTCTGCTTCCCCATTACTTCAGCCTCCATGGGACAGCGTGAATGTAGGTGCTCCTTCCATCTGCACCACTGCCACGGGTGACAGAGCCTGCGCCACAGTAGGTCCCTCTGGCCTTTGATGGGAGTTAGGCTTGGTCCAAGACGTGTAACATCAAAACAGAAAACTTAATGGTATTACCCAAATTACCAGACCACAGGGAAACAAATCGCTCCTCTCTGTTGCATAGTTTTAACACTAACATCAGAGGAAGCAAGTAATTTTATTCTCTCTCTGATAAGGAAAAGTCAATTATTTTTATGTGTATTACAGGGTTTTCCAGGATTTGATGGTCCACCAGGTGTCTATGGTCCTCGGGGAGGCAAGGTACTGCTTTATTCTCATTTGCCAGGAGCAATAAAGCAAATGTGATTTTGCTTGCTTTTCTGTCATGTAATAACAATTGTGTTTCTCATCATTGTAGAACCAGTTATGTAGTTCGTTAACTTGAAATCTCAGAGATTTCTGAAAGGTCATGTCAGTTTGTTTCTTTGGGTTTCCTGGGCATTTTAAAAGGAACTCTCTAGAATAATGTGCTTAGATGTGATACTTCAGTTTCTGTTAACAGGGGGAGCCAGGCGACATTGGTCTTCCAGGACCAGATTCCTATCTTCCTTCCCACATCCCAAGGAAAGGTACATCTTCTTTGCTTAGATTGCTTATCTTAGCTGCATTTTACTACCTTATACATAGATCAAAAGCATGAAATTTTGAGGATTCGACTCCTTAAAAGACTGGTTTGCTGAACTGTCCCAGAAGGTATAATTGCCTTCCAAGAGAGTGCTCTGATCACTGCTCTGCAGGCAGGTGGCTTCTTTGTCCTGCTGAAGCTGGATTGCTGATCAAAAGGCATCCATGCATTCCTGTGTCCAGAAAGAAGAAACAAGCAAAAAAGCCTGTGACTGTTGTCCAGTGAAAGGAAGAATGGGAGAGTCTGTCTTCTGTATCCTGTTTCAGAGACTCTGGATAAAGTGCAGCAATGGCAGTACAGCAGAGACCATTCTTATAGTCTAGTATTTAGAAATGAAAAAAAAAAAAAAAACACAAAAAAAGAAACCCAAACCAAACCAAAAATCAACATTAAAAACAATAGAAGAGGATTTTTTTTCCAACAAATTGATTTTGTGACCTTTCCACTAAATTTGTAGCACCCACTGTCAGATGTCCCACAAAGTCATGGCTTGCCAGACTAGAAACACATACAAGGTGATACCAGTTTGCCAAGATGAAAACTATTTCAGGGAAGGTGCCAGCAAACAACAAAGATGATCATAGACCATTGTCCCAGCCTTTGTCCTTATACCACTGAGTTTTCTGATCTTGTTGAAGAAAGCCAGAGAGCCTAACAATGAGTGGTTCCCTTTCTCCCAGTGAATGGGAGCAAGAGGCCCAAAATATTGTTCAAATCAAACACCCTGACAGGCTTTTAGGATCAGGAAAGACTGTGTAGGGAGAGGAGGAAACAGGTAAAGGGCTGACACACCATATGTCCTCTAGTGTCATTGACCTATGACAAGAGCATGATACCTCCCTACCGGCAATAGCCAGGCCCAGGCAGATGCTTTATCTCCTGGGGAACAGAGGAAAGCCCAAAGCTCATATATCATAGAGAGCTGGTCTTCTGTGCTTCTCAGGAGCAATTTAGCTCTAGCAGCATATTAGTAAGAGCTGAGAGATGTTCTTCTTCCTGTCACAGGCCATGTTCAGCTCCCAGATATATTTGGGCTTTACAGAAATCTCTCAAATTCATTTCTTTATTCAGCCTAGGCAGCATGAGGTGGCACGTTTTTGCATTTCTGAAACTATCTTTAAGAAACAAGTGCAAACTCTAATATTCTAAAGTCTTTGAATTTCCTAATCTTTACTTTTTAAGAACTGAGTAATTTGCAGTGTGACACAAGTTGGCATTTATGGGTCACAAATGGCATCACACTAACATGTGGTTTGTGGAACGGGGATGTCTTTCAGGTGTAAGAGGTGACCCAGGCTTTCCAGGTGTTTCTGGACTACAGGGAGACCCAGGAGAAGAGGGAGATCATGGACCTCCTGGTCTTCCTGGATTTTCTGATGGTAATATCCCATCAACAGATGTTCCAACAGCTTAACTTTATAGCCAGTTTCAACTGATACATGGTCAGGGATGTGGGGAATTTATGTGTGGACTGTGGATCATGCAGTGCAGAGTGGTAGATAACTAACTGCTGGGACAAAAAACCAGAGAAGCATTTTCCTCCAGCCTTGATGGAGCTCTGACAAAACAACTGGAGATGATGATGGAAGCTTGCTTCAGTAACTCCTATAGATTTGCTCAAGTGAGAAGTGCAGTTACCATTTTTACTCTATGCTAAATATCTCCATTTTTCCTTGCATGCTAGATGCAGTTGCATGAACTTTCCCTTCTGCTCCATTACAGCTCCTTGAGCACTGTTGTTAAGAAATTGTTTTGAACTTCTTCCCTGTTTCTATTCCAGCGGATGGGGATAAGCCAGGCTTACCTGGAGAAATGGGACCGAAAGGTGAAAAAGGTGAATCAGGATCTCCTGCTTATCAGGCAGGCCCACCCGGCTTTCCGGGTAAACATGGCACACCAGGACTCCGTGGTCCACCTGGTCCTGCTGGAGCCCCTGGTAAGTGCATAAAGAGAGATGACGAGAACTCAGAGGAACATCTGTGCTTATTTTAAAGACAGTGGTTGGCAAGGCAAAGTGATAAAGTAGATGGAGGAAATAAAATGAAATGTTTGGCAGGAAGGACACACAGGGAAGAGGTGTTGTGTGCTCTTCAATGAAGGAAAGGTTTCTATCAGTTTTAGACATTCCTGGTGAAATTTGAAAGAAAAGGTCTGTTTGGGGCTGGGGGCGAGATATGAGTGTCAAGGAGTGTCTGAGAGAGCTGAATTTCTTCTTTATCCTGGAGAAAAGAAAGCTAAGGGGAATCTTGCTGCTACTTTCCCCTACCTCTCAGGAGGTCATTGGGAAAATGAAACCAAATGCTTCACTAAGGAACACAGCAACAGGGCAAGAAGCAATGGTGACAAGCTGCAACAAAGGAAGTTCTGCTTAGGAAAACCTTTTTCACCATGAGAGTGGTCAGACACTGAACAGGTTGCTCAGAGAGACTGTAGACTCTCCATCTTAGGAGATACTCAGTACTTAGCTGGACAGGGTCCTGAGCAACTTGCTGCAGCTTTGAGGTTGGCCCTGCTTTGAGCAGAGGGTTGGACCAGGTGACCTCCAGAGGCCGCTTCTGACTGAGATTGTGGTGTGAAAAGCACAACACTGCAGTGCAAGAGCAGGAGTAGAGAAAATGATGTGCAAGAGGTGATCCAGTGCAGGCAGCCTGTGGTACTGCAAAGTGCTGAGAGAAGCTCAAGGAATTCAAGGTGAGAAAGAGCAAAGAATGGCAAGGATCATCTGCCACTGCAGATGGAAGTAGCTAAGAAAGTGTGTGGGGAGCTGTGAGAAGAGGTAGAGAGGAAGAGAGTAAGGGGTAGATAATAACAGGCTGGGTTAGACAGTAAACTCCATTAGGGAGAACAGAAAAGGGCAGATGCAGTGCAGCTCAAAGGAACAGGAAGGAAAGGGAATAAAAGTAAATCTACACTACATCAATTGCTATTTTTATTTGATTTATAGGTCCTCTCTTTGGATTAAAAGGACAGGAGGGGACGCCAGGTAGATTTGGCATACAAGGTTTCCCTGGGCCAAGAGGACAAAAAGGACCTAAAGGTAAGTTACAACAAATAACAGATGTTATGATAACAGGTAACAGATGCTGTTGTAAGCAGCACTATGTAAAGCTCCTGTTGTATTCAGTCTGAGTTTATAGAGCTATGACGTGCTTGTGGACTGGTGAATTTGATCTGGGGCTAACGCAAGGAAGCATTATGTTAGCTTCTTGTAACAAAAAAACAAACCAAAAAAAAGAGGAAGTATTTCTCTCAAGTATTTCAGAAACTACTCAAGTATTCTCAAGTCTATATATAAGATGGATATAGCTGAACATCCATTTCGTAGTGACAGACCATTCTTTCTTCTCTTTCCAATCCTTTCCTTAGGTGAAGAAGGAGATTGCAGTACATGCCTTTTGGATGAGGAAAGGAGAAGGGGCTCTACTGGTCCCCCTGGCCCTCCTGGCTTTCCAGGAACTCCTGGCCAGCCTGGGAGGAAAGGAGAACCTGGTGATCAAGGACCACACGGTATTCCTGGCTACCCTGGAGCAAAAGTGAGATAATTACCACTTTATTGCATTGCTTTAAATGCTTACTACAAAACAAACAAACAAAACCTCCAAAAAATAAACAAACAAAAGAAAAAAAAAACACACCAAAAAACAATCCAAAACCACACAAGAAAAAACCCAGGCTATTCTCCATGGAAAAATGCTAACAAGTATGATTTCTTTCTTTCCATGCCACTTCAATTGCTTTCAGATTGCTATCTACAAAATACTGAAAGCAAAGAATTGCTAGGATGGAAGTCAGAATATGCAGTTTTAGGAAAAGTGAAAGATTTCCACATAATCCAAGGTCCACTTCCCATTTAAACTATGCTACTGTACTACTGAGTAAGACCTGACCATCTGGAAGGGTAATAATTTAGGCTGAGAAAGTTGGGGCTGTTCAGCCTGTAGAAGAGAAGGCTGCGTGGAGACCTCAGAGCAGCCTTCCAGTATCTGAAGGGGGGCTATAGGGATGCTGGGGAGGGACTCTTCATTAGAGACTGTAGTAACAGGACAAGGGGTAATGGGTTAAAACTTAAACAGGGGAAGTTTAGATTGGATCTAAGGAGGAAATTCTTTCCTGTGAGGGTGGTGAGGCACTGGAATAGGTTGCCCGGGGAGGTTGTGAATGCTCCATCCCTGACAGTGTTCAAGGCCAGGTTGGACGAGGCCTTGGGTGATATGGTTTAGTGTGAGGTGTCCCTGCCCATTGCAGGGAGGGTGGAACTAGATAATCTTAAGGTCCTTTCCAACCCTAACTATTCTATGATTCTATGATTCTAATTCCAGTAGTAACTTATGGTTGTTAATAAGACACTATATCAAAATGATGAAATGCAAGGTTCCTGTTTACAATACATTAAGTCTTCCTAAAAACCAGTATTCAATAACCCCAAGAAAAGAGCTTTGCTTATAATCATTTGTTTGTTACTTACACTGAGAGGTGCTGTACTGTGTGGTATGCCAATTGCATTGTGGTTCCTTGCCGTCAGAACTGACTTCAGGAAATCACATCTCTCAAGGTTTTAGAATAAAATTCTTGTAAATCTGACCCAAAACTGATTTTGTTTATACAAAGATGTCAGAGCAAACATAATGTTTTCATTTAGTGCTTTAGGCTCTTCTGAACATCTAAAGATGATGCTACTTTTCAGCCCTATAATAGTGTTGTGAATCACAATCCACTGCCAGCTATGAAGCTGTCCTCTTTTGTAGTGGTGGGCAGGGAGAATTGCAGGTCAATATAACAGTGTTGTTTCCATGATGCCAAAGAGTTGCTTACAGCATTTTCTTTAATGGTTAAAACTGAGTAATTTACTGTAGAATCATAGAATCAACCAGGTTGGAAAAGACCTCTAAGATCATCAGGTCCAACTGCTATGCAGAGCTGCTCAGCCCACCACTAAACCATGTCACTGAGGGCAAACTCATCTCCCCTCATGGCTGCCCCTCATGATCTCCACTCACAGGAACGCCTCATCTACCCCCCACCCGCCATAGTGGCCTACTCTATAGCTGCCAACCCTACCCCTCACAGCTATCCTTCATCTCCCCTCACGCTCTCCCCTCATGGCCCACAGCCACCCCTGCTCTCCCCTCATGATCTCCCCTCATGATCTCCCCTCAACCCTGAAGGCCATCCCTCCTGCTCCCTCACACCTCCCCCTCACAACTGCCCCTCACAAGCTCCCCTCATGCCTTCCCCTCACAAGCTCCCCTCATGCCTGCCCCTCACAAGCTCCCCTCATGCCTGCCCCTCACAAGCTGCCCTCTTGTCTGCCACTCTTGAGCTTCCCTCACACCTGCTCCTCACAAGCTCCCCTCACGCCTGCCCCTCATGAGCTCCCCTCACGCCTGCCCCTCACAAGCTCCCCTCACGCCTGCCCCTCACGAGCTGCCCTCACACCTGCTCCTCACGCCTGCCCCTCACAAGCTCTCCTCATGTCTGCCCCTCTTGAGGTCCCCTGACACCTGCCCCTCTCAAGCTCCCTTCATGACTGCCCCTCTCAACCTCCCCTCATGCCTGCCGCTCTCTCCTTACTCCTGCCCCTCCTCTCCCCTCATGATCTTCCTTATCCAATACTCAAAGGGAAGAGGGAGAAGGCAAGTGGAGGAATAATGGTAATACACTGTGCATAGTGTGATTAACTTGTTTGGTTAAGCCAAGGCCTCTTGTGAGACTGGATTTGAGTCAGCTAGGGTTTGGAGAAAGAGTGTCCTAGAACAGAGAAGTCCAAGCACTGGGCGTGGAGCCAATGCAGTGGTGTTGGTGAGGATCTGTTTTGCTTCTGGATTGTGTTCTGTTTTGTTTTGCAGGGAGCTTTGTTTTGTCAGGGTTTCTGTGCAAACATGGATTGCCATCATGTTGCTGAATGTCTGAAGCTGCAATAAAGTCCACTGACATATGCACTTTGGAGAGGGCAAACTAACAACTTGCTCAACCTGGATGAGTAGGCATCAAGTGGAATGGCTTAATTCCACTTGATGCCTACTGGCCACTCAGTCCTTCATCCCATGTAGTGAGATAGTAATGTTTTGAGTATTCTCCAATGCAGTTCTGCAGCTGCAGTCATCTGCAGGACTGCAGGTCATGAAAAGCCACAGCTCTCCCAGTGCTGTACACATGCAGAAGCTCCCCTACCGTGCCACAAAGACCTTGGTCCTAGTTAAAGCATATTAATAAACATTCAGGCACGTACATGGGATTACTAAAGAAGAAATAATTTACAGAAGCTTTTCTGATTTAAGTGGTTCTGTTTCTTCTTTATTTCATTGCATGTAACACCAGGGTTTCTCGGGTCAACATGGATTTCCTGGTCCTAAAGGAGAAAAGGGAGATTCTTTATACATAACTACTAAAGGTAGGGTAAAAAACAAAACAACTGATATCACCTGTATTTTGCTACTATTTATACCTTTCATGAGAGATTGATCTCACAATGGAAGGTCTTCTTTAGGCACCAAAGGAATTCGAGGAGATCCCGGGCTGCCTGGTATCAGAGGTGGAGATGGCTTTCCAGGCAGAGATGGATTAGATGGTTTACCAGGACAGCCTGGCTTTCCGGTGAGCAGCAAGTACAGCTAAACCATTTCCACCACACTCAATTACAAATGCATTTAATTCTGAGGGGTTATGAGCAACAAGCTATCCTTCTCTCACAGATAATGATGCACACAACTAGACTGGCTTTGCTGGTTATTGATATATTCAAGATCAGGTTTACTCTCAGGGTTTTTGGAACAATCTTTCACTTTTATTTCCATTTTACTTGCCCAACTACATAGTAGTGTATGACCCATTTAGGCCAGCTTGTTATTTGTGATAAATAGTGGTTCATTAGTGACTCCTTCTAGCATTGTCTAGGAGAGATTCTGTGTGACTGAACTTCAGTAGTTTTGTTACAACTGAGTTAAAGAAAAGTAAAATTTACTACAACTTTACAGTCTCAAAATGTAGGTTGTGTCATCATATATATGCTTGATAGCACCTCACCTAGCTAACTGCTCTTATGCATTATTTGAAGATAAGCCATATCATCCAATCTGGACTACAATGCTTTTTACTACCACTAAAGAGAGTATTTTATATTACTTTGAGGATTGAAATATTTTCTAGTGATGTTTGTTAGATTCAGTAGCATAGAAATATCAGTAAAGTAACAGAAAAATTAAAAATATGCCCCCATTTGGGCACAGTTTTATATCAGCTTTTCTCAAGGTCTCAGAAGTAAATGCCACACCAGAACAAATCTAGCAATGCATGTGGATTCCCCAAAATCCACTTGCAGCTTTTCGGAAAGGGCAGTAAGCCACTCCACAGCAGTGATTCATTCATATTGCCCAAGTGCCATTCATGGGCCAACATTTTCAGGGGAATGCTTCCTCTAAGAGTGCTTCTCTCATGCCTTTTCTGACATGGGGTTTAAATTAAAATCAGGTTATTTAAAAAATATTTTAGTTGCAGTGTTGATTTAAAGAGCTGGGATGCAACATCCGGGGACTTACTGCTTATGTTGGTCACGGGCGTGGTTCAACTGTTTGAGTTTTTTTGTTTCTCAGCAAAGTCAGGAGTGACCACATCCACTCACTTCCCTCAGGGTGATGCTGTCAGAGGTTTCCCTGGCGATCCTGGTTATCCAGGTGAATTAGGCCCAAAGGGCTTTCCAGGAGAAGCAGGCCTGCCAGGTGAAGGATTTCCTGGTCCAAAAGGGTACCGGGGTCCTCCAGGTGACCATGGACAAGATGGAAGCCCAGGACCTCCAGGTCTGCCCGGTCTGCCAGGAGAGCCTGGCCAACTCGGTAAGAGGCATCAATCGCAGTGTTTTACATCAGAGCCATGGGAGATCATTACTGAACTGTGTGAAGCCTCTGTACAGCACATTGTTGAAAAGGTAGCATTTGGGGGGGGGGGGGGGGTAAGAAGATATTGCTTGTATTAGTTGTTCAGAAATATTAAAGAAGTAAATACTTCAAAAGTCCCAGTAGTTTTGTGTCAGGTATTGAAATAGTATGAATGCGCTAGTGCCAGCAAGTAACATCTTTCAGATTTCAAGCATTTGGTGGCAATGGAGCAATATCCAGCTATTGGAGTACTCACAGGTGGTTTTCTTTGGTCTTCCCCATCCAACATAATCTTTTACCTGACCAGAGAAAATCATATATCCATCCTTCAGAGCTCTTGATAGTATCTCTGCAACTTCCAGCATAAGAATGACAGGGGTACATTCACAACAGCTCAGGCTCATGGTTTTATTGCTCAACTTTGAAATGCTTGGCAAAATATTCAAGCCAAGGCAGGCACCTGCCAACCCTAAACAGTGCATGAGACATGTAGCCTCCTAACTCTGACAGGGTTAGCTTTCAGGCCTGGATTGAATTAATACATGGATAGAGAGTTCCACTATGTTATAACAAATAGTTTGTCTTGTATGTATGTATAAGTGAATACATTATCTGATGTTGTAATAGGCATTTTGGTTGGAATTGAGAGCACAGTTTTTCTCTTAAATAATAACTGCCCTTTACCATTCTTTGCTCATAGACTGTGGGCAGGTCACTGAAGACTTTTCTAGAGGAGATGGAACTGAGCCAATATGGTCAGGTACTGTACGTACAAACTGCTTGATTATATTTTAAAATTTAGTCTTATGCTGCTCTTATGGCTTGATTCTTTCTGGTGATTGTTTTGGATGTTCTTATTTGTAAAGTATTTGAACTTCAGGTCACAAATAACCATGCACATACTGTACATAGCTTTAAAGTAATTTAATTAAATTGAACATATTCTAAAAGTATTGCAGTTTTAGCTGTGCAATTCAGAAATTCTTTATTTCATTGCTCCTGAGTGTTTATTGTGACAAAATTATGGTTGCCATGCACTCTATAACAACAGTCCCAAAAATTAGATGCCCAAGAAAATTTAAACCATTTTTTTTAAAGAGCTTTGAGTGAAGGTTTTCAGTACAACTTGACATATAAATAAAAAACACCTTCATTTGTACCAAAATTTATCTGATTGCTTCAGGAGTCTAAATTGCCCACAGGGAAACAAAGTTTCTCTCTTATTCTGAAAAATAGTCATCCATGAGGTTTGATTACCCTTCCCATACCAGTCTAACTGGAGCAAGCCACCATAGCCCCTGGGAAGTAGGCAGAAGAGCACCTTTAGTGCTCTCCTGAAAATGCCACCCATGACCAATTTTTTTTTTTTTTTAATGAAGAATAAAATATTTTTTAATATTAGGGTTTTGCCTGTTAATTTAATTCACCTGCTTTAATGATGTTGTCTCAACTGCAGGCACAGAGTTGATGAGTGGCAACGTATGAGCACATACAGTGTGACTAACCAGCCCTCTTTGCTTTCAGGTGCAGGCTGTGTGAGGCCGCCACAGGGATCCCGAGGCAATCCAGGACTGCCAGGAGCCACAGGTAACATTTTGCTTTCACCTTTCTTTTGCACATGTATTATGTTTTGAGGAAGATCTTGCCAGATCAATTAAAGTTGAACCTTAGGAGGCAGTGAGTTTTAGAAATTACAAAGGAGGACAATGTTAACTTAAAGCCAGCAGAGAGACCTAAGCAGCTTGAAGCCCAGGTGGCTGCACAGTTCCTGAGCTAATTCTGCCTTTGCTAATGAGCGTCAGCCATTAACAAATGAAGACAGAAAGGACAGCCCATTTGCTATCCTCCACTGCAAGTAAGTGAAGGTGTACAGAAGGAGTCTACAGGCTGATAGGTAGAAAATATACTGAGGTCTCCCAGAGCTGACTGGACACATCGCACGGAAATTCCTGTCCTTTGGGAGCAGGTTGATAAAAGGTTGCAGTGGAGAGCTGTGGCAGATCCTTCTTAATAGTCCTCCTCTTGTGATATACAGAGCACCTTCAGTGAGTGTGAGCCTGAAATATTTAATGCAGCTCAGTGTAATGGGCCAGGTTGTCTGAAGCAATGCAGTTGCACTGTCTGTAGCCACGCATACCTTTCTTGCAGAGCTGGTCTGTCCTAGCCCAGAGGGACCATCTGGCAATCCTGGGCCTCCCCAGCACTGAGGGTTCCACACCTCTTTCCAAAAGAAAGAGGAAATGGTGCAGGGGACAGGGTCTGAAGGACTGTGCGAGATGGAATTGAGAGAAACACAGACAAGGATGCTGATTAGTCGTAACTATTGACCTTGAAGAGGGAACCGTCACTGGTAGTTCCTATAAGCTTATGTTCCTATAAGCTTATGTACTCCCAGCCAAAGCAATAAAGCTATTTTTCAGTAAAACCTTCTCATGACCAGCTGGTAAAAGTACTGACAGAAACTATAACTGGGTCTTTCAGAGCTTGGTAAATGTAAAATTCTTGATGCAGCTATTCTTGTGCCTCCATGCTTTAGCCAATGTCAGAGATATGGGCTATGTCAAGTGTTTGGGGGTTTTTTCCAGCATAAGGTTTATTATGGAGTGCATGGATTGATGGATCGATTTATCACAGACTAATGGATTCTAAAAGGGAACATTTGATCTCTGTTCAAAGATGATGTGTATCTCCAACCTATGTTTCCTTAGTCCTTAATGCCTTACTTTATTGTTAGGATCAATGCTTCTGAAGGTTGCTTTCTTTGCCATCTTTGTAATTTTTTTCTTCTTTTTTTGCTTTGATGATTTGTTTATTCTTTCATTCATATGGTTTTTATTTCAGTGAATACAGCCAGATTTAACTCCTAGCTGTAAGACTGTTGTAAAACAAGTGACACTGTTTTCATGTGGTCTATATTTTGTACTTTTGGTTAGCTCTTTAACAAATCTCTGTCTGTCAGCTTTTATGTTCTAGAAATTTTAAGATTTGTTTTCCCTTCCTTTCCTCCAAAAACTGGAAAAGGCCCCTAGCTGAGCCCAGGGCAGAACTCTGTTTATAGCCACCTTTCAGCCTGAGTGAGTCCTGAAGCTGGCAACCCATTGGGAACAGGACACATTTTACAACTTTTCACAGCTTCTTGTTGCCATGTATGTGTCAATCTAGTTTCCTGGGTCAGTATTCCTACCCACATTCTCTGGATTGACTCAAAAGCACCAACACCTCCTTTACACTATTTTCATTGTCTCCTTAGAGTGATGTGGTTTTATCCACAAGATTTCCTGACTTCTTTTCAGCCAGGATGGAGCTCTGCTATAGGCAGTCAAGTCTCTCAGTGTACAAGGTGCTAATGGCACCCAGTATATCAAGCAAGGAGTCATCTTTATAGTCTCACACCCTCATGTCCTTGTGTTCCTTTAAAATTCCTGGCAACATAGAGAGCCCACCCTAATTTACATCCTTGTTATTCAGTAGTCTCAAGACCTACGTGACCGCTGTGGAATAAAATGTTCAAGTTTTCTGTTTTGAATGTACAGCTGAAGAGCTTGCAAACTAAACACTGGTCTAAAATAAAAACCTTTTCCTACTACTGTTTGGCATAACATGTTAACAGCAGCTAACACTGCATAATGAGTTACTGAAATATGCAGTAAGCAGTAGTTGCATTCTCTATCTGCTGCCTTCTTTCTCTAGAATGGCTTTTTAATTAGTGCAATACTGAACAGAATGAATGAAGTCAGTTATTACACATGGGAAACAGGACTACGATGCTATTTCTGTAAGAGGTACATTAGAATTTTTCACTGAGACCTGAAAGCCTAGGATTTTTCCTTTCAATTGCTTTCTGAGAAGTTATTGTTCATATAAGGGAGAGAACAATAGTCCTGTATGGCTCTGGGAAAATGCTATTCATGCTGCATTGGCTGTTTATGTGCACCTTAATTGTGGTCTTTTTAAAGGTTTTCCTCTCCCCTCTACAAATAACAGCTAGAACTGCAAAAATTATAGTTAAATAATGGAAATTCAGAAAACTGAAGTGGAAAAAAAGTATCAAAATTCAAGTGATGTTTTCTTTGGTTTCTCAAAGATAGAGAGAAATTTGCTTTCAGTGTAGAAAGAAATGAGTTGTAATTCATGGTGATACTAAGCAACAACATTTAAAATGTTAAAGCATGTTGTTGACCTTCAAGCCTGAGCTGGGAACTTTTGAGGAGCTCAGGAGGGTAGGGAAACAAAGCATTCCACAGGAATTATTTTCAAAGAAGGAGCTTTACCAAATAATCTTGATCTTGGAATACAATGAATTCCCAACGACTGGAAAAAGGGAAAGATAACCCCCATTTTCAAGAAGGGGAAAATGGATGACCCAGGGAATTACAGACCAGTCAGTCTCACCTCTGTGCCTGGCAAAATCTTGGGGCAGATTATCCTGGAAAGAATGCTAAGGCACATGAAAAACAACAAGGTGCTTGGTGACAGCCAGCATGGCTTCACTAAGGGGAAATCCTGCCTGACCAATTTGGTGGCCTTCTGTGATGGGATTTGAAAGGTGGACTACTTGGTGGACAAAGAACTGGCTGGATGCCCGCACGCAGAGTTGTGGTCAATGGCTCAATGTCTGGCTGGAGACCAGTAACGAGTGGTGTCCCTCAGGGATCGGTGTTGGGACCGGTCTTGTTCAACATCCTCGTCGGTGACACGGACAGTGGGATTGAGTGCGCCCTCAGCAAGTTTGCCAATGACACCAAGCTGTGTGGTTCGGTTGATAGGCTGGAGGGAAGGAATGCCATCCAGAGGGACCTTGACATGCTTGTGAGGTGGGCTGATGCCAACCTCATGAAGTTTAACCATGCCAAGTGCAAGGTCCTGCACCTGGGTCAGAGCAATCCCAGGCAGGGCTACAGGTTGGGCAGAGAAGAGATTCAGAGCAGCCCTGCGGAGAAGGACTTGGGGGTGTTGGTTGATGAGAAAATGAACATAAGCCGGCTTCAGTGTGCGCTCACAGCCCAGAAAGCCAACCGTATCCTGGGCTGCATCAAAAGGAGCGTGACCAGCAGGTCAAAGGAGGTGATCCTGCCCCTCTACTCTGCTCTCGTGAGACCTCACCTGGAGTATTTTGTGCAGTTCTGGTGTCCTCAACATAAAAAGGACATGGAACTGTTGGAACAAGTCCAGAGAAGGGCCACAAGGATGATCAGGGGACTGGAGCACCTCCTGTATGAAGAGAGGCTGAGAAAGTTGGTGCTGTTCAGCCTGGAGAAGAGAAGGCTGCATGGAGACCTCATAGCAGCCTTCCAGTATCTGAAGGGGGCCTATAGGGATGCTGGAGAGAGACTGTTCATCAAGGACTGTAGTGATAGCACAAGGGGTAATGGGTTAAAACTTAAACAGGGGAAGTTTAGATTGGATATAAGAAGGAAATTGTTTCTTGTTAGGGTGGTGAGGCACTGGAATGGGTTGCCCAGGGAGGTTGTGAATGCTCCATCCCTGGCAGCGTTCAGGGCCAGGTTGGACAAAGCCTTGGGTGAGATGTTTAATGTGAGGTGTCCCTGCTTATGGCAGGATGGTTGGAACTAGATGATCTTAAGGTCCTTTCCAACCCTAATGATTCTATGATTCTATGTAGTAAAACTATTGCAAAAATAAAAAAATTTACAAACTTAAGTATCACTTGCAATGCTTGCAAGTGTTCAGATGTTGAGAAACAGTAATATTTGTCCTTACCCAAATGTCAAATACTACAGTACAAGGAAGTGAGGTCTAATTTTACTTGTCAGGAGGTAACTCGGTATGAATATGAGTTCAGTGCCAGAGAAACACTTTTTCAGGGCACCTGCTTTTACTACCAAAACTATACATCTGTACTGTCATAAATATAGTAAGTAGTGTAGTTAATTTGTATCCTGTTTCCAGGACGATTAGATCTAATCTTTAGCCTTACATTTCTGTTTTGTGGTTATCTAAACCATTCTGCTCTTGTTCTGTGATCTTGTCGTGTTAGCCAGGAAGGGAAAAATTTGTTTCTCCTACAGCATCTCATCTGAGCCTGTTTCTGTTGAGCATTCTTCTTTGACATTGCCTTTTGACTTCAAGATAAAAGTCTTAATTTACAAAGTATTAAAAGTCTATGAGCCTAGTCATTTTCATCTGGTAGTCTCCATATCATTAGTCTTTAAGTCAGGTTAATCCATGTTTGTAAGAGCACTCAGCCTAGATTTTTGGCCATGTCTTTGGATCATGAATACTGCTAAAGAGCTATGATATAGTCCCATTAAATTAAAAAAAGTTTCATCTTTGCATCCAGAAACACATCATGGTGATATTTACCACTACCTTTTCTTATATTATATGCTCATTTCTGGTTTGTTTGTTCAGAAACAATTTCTTACTTTCTTTCATATAATTTAGGTGTGAAAGGTGCAAGAGGATTCCCAGGTGATCCAGGTCCCATGGGATTCCCAGGGCTAAATGGTACACGAGGTGATCCAGGTCGAGAAGGTTTACCAGGTCCTCCAGGTATCTTGAAATAACTTGTCATTCTTTATATACTTTTGACCTCTTCACTACAGTTACTGGAACACGAAACTTGGTTCCAGATACATTTTTATTTATCTTCCCTTCCATGTTCAAACAAGAAACTGTTATACAAAACCGCTATTTTTCAAATCCAAAAGGGTTTCCTGCAACTTCTGTAATGATGAAAAGTAACACAAACACCAGCCTTTTAAAATCTGCTTAATAGTGCAAAATTGTGAATGTGTCAGTAAAAGTCCATGAAATTCACACAGAAATAAATTCAGTAACAAGATATTTCAGATTCCAAATGGAATATACTCAGAATGATGATGCAGAAAGTAGGAAAACACTAGTATTAGTATTTCTATATAACTGCCCATTTCCACATTTGGTCGAATGTTCTTATAAATGCTACGTAGTTTAAAAGCATGTATGTGTATATATATAAAAACACTTTTATTCTGCATGTTTCTGCTAAGGACTAGGGGAAATTGCAGTAATATAAAAGGTGTTGTAACGGTGCCTCTGTGATTTGAACTCCAACATTTATAGTGAACCCTGTGATGCCTACTCCCTGTTTTATTTGTAGGTTTTACTGGGCCCAGGGGAGACAGGGGCCCAAACGGTCTACCTGGACTTCAGGGACACCCAGGCCTCACAGGAAAATCTGGTGCTCCAGGAGCCACAGGACTGAAGGGGTTACCTGGTGATGCTTTAGGTGCTGCAGCAGGTTCTCGAGGGGATGTTGGGCTTCCTGGTTTCCCCGGGTTGAAAGGCTTGCCAGGAGATCAAGGAGTACCAGGAGTTAGAGGTAAAACTACTTCAAATAAAGAAATGCTTAAGTAAGAGTATGGTATAAATGAAGGCAAATTATAGGAATGTGAGAGTAGTAAGAGACTGTCTTAGGATGTGTTGGAGGTACTGATGACCCCAGTATCAAATCCCAGTGACTGATGATCTCCCATCCCTTCACCATCAGGTGTTACCAATATGCTGATTACCCCCTTGCCCTGTTGTGGGAGTGGCAAAAAGAGTAGTAATTGTGTGACTAGCTCAAAGCAAGGATGTCTATCACAGGTGCCAGTTTGGGAGACTTTTCTTATGATTTTCAATACAAAGAAGAGCGTCATCTTACATAAGTTGTTTGAAGTGAAGAGAACTGGTTTCACCTTCAGTAGAGCCACAGTGTGAAAAAAAAAGATGAAGACAGCTCTGTGGCACTTGGCAAATTTAAAAAAAGGCAGAAAACATCACTCTGAAAAGGGGAAGAAACTCAAGGTAAAACATGAATTGAAAGGGAAAGAAAATTGTGTGCCTTTGTACCTTCTTCCTAAGCATTTCTGTAGAACTAAATTTTCAGCAATAACAAAAAGTAAGTATGGATAAAAGAAAAAGTATTAGTAGTTTGTCTCTTCTTGATTTATTTTACAGTTCTGAAAGAATGACTCTAAAAGAAAAGTAGTGAATTTTTTGTATATGATGTGGGTTTTTAGTTTTACATGAAGTGGCTAGTGCTTCCTTTATATCATCTATGCCACTTATACTACTAGCCCCTCAGAACAAAGAGGTAAAGCTTGTATTCTGTTGTTGAGAAAACCCAAGTTATGTGACATTAGTTATAAAAGCACACTTAAGTCAAGGCAATGGACCCACACTGATGTAAAACCTGAATAAAGAGAAGCAGATCCACTCAGCCTGGATGTTAAGTGCCATTTACTCTTGAGGTCTTCTGTGCTTCTGCATTTCCAATCTGAATACAAAGCAGGAATTAGCTTTTAAATCTTGGATACCCCCTTTGTTCTTACCTTGTAGAGATGTAAATTTTCACCAAGTGCACTAAGTCATGTCAAGACCTTTTTGCATAAGAATTTGTACGAATCTTGTAGCAGTGCCTTGTAGTGACCTTACTTGAAGATTTCTGAACAATAACCCCAAAACAGAACCTGCCTCAAATATTCTGATTCGTGCCTATCACATTTTAGAAAAGATACAGAACATATTTCAGTGGTTCAGTCAGCTGCTTAATTTGATTCTTAAAAAGATATATGTGATAAAGAGAGAGATCAGGAATTACAGAATTACTGGGGTTAAAAGTGGAAAAGACCTGCCCCATCATTATCCGCCCAGTGCCAGATTGTTTCCATTATGAAAGAGCCAGTCAACCTTTCCAATACAAGTACTGAGATCAGTATTGGTAATGTGAATTATTTTAAAACTAATGAGTAGTCTTTTAATTTGCTTTCCCTGCTCTCACTGAAGTTTCAGAGGAAAAACCCTGAAAGACTAGTGTATACACAGAAGTGGTGATAATAAGCTCTCTAGATATTTATACTCTCTAATGCATGATTATGATATTTTAGGAGCGGATGGTATCCCAGGTTTGCCAGGATCCAAAGGAGAGCCAGGGCCACAAGGTCTCCCTGGTTTGATGGGATTGCCGGGAACTCCGGGAACACGTGGATTCCCAGGGCCACCAGGAAACCCTGGGCCAGATGGCGGGCCTGGTTCTCGAGGACCTATTGGTGAGGAAGTATTGCTGTCCTGTGTCCCTCCTGCTGACAGTTTTGTGTGGCAGGACAACTGTATGGTTTCCACAGCAGAAAGTTAAGCTTGGGATTGTGGCACATGCCGTGCTTTTATTCCCAGCCAGAGAAATGGCAGTAATGATGTAGACAATGTGTCTGAAAATTGTACTGGTATCAGAGGTGGAAGTAGGGGTGACGATCCTTGCTGGCAGAGCTGCTGCTTTTAGTTGTACAGCCACCTACCAAGCCAGGTCAGAGCTTGCTGGTGGCAGACTGGGAGAATGGAGCTACCAAAGGAGGGAGTAGTTATGGAAGAAATGCTTAATTCCTAAAAAAAGGAGGGAAAGGTCCTGTTGGGAGTGGGTGCAGGACTAAGCTGGCAGCGAGTGTGGTTTGTATTGAGGATCTGCTTTGTCTTTGTAATCATGTCTACAGTCCTTGTGTGAAAAAAGTGCTAATGTTCTCCCCTCAACACAAAGCTGGTAGGACAGCAGTTTTCTCCTCCTTGAGCTGCCTTGTATGAAAATCATCATGTATGTCCAAACACTTTTTAATCTCCCTATTCGCATGTTCACATGGCAGGTCCACCTGGTGCTAGGGGAGAAGATGGTGAGCAAGGTTTTCCTGGCCCTGTGGGCATGAAAGGTCTGTCTGGTGACAAAGGCGAAACAGGTTATCCAGGATTACAAGGTGTGCCTGGTGTGATTGGTCCCCCTGGCATAAGTGGAATGGATGGTTTTCCAGGAGACAAAGGTGAGCTCTGCACAGCTGCTTTGAAAAAAAGTAGTGTTGCCTAAACCAGTTCTGTGCTGAGATGAACAAGATACCTTCTCTGCTGGGCTACCTCTTTTTAAAATGGAAGAATTAGGATCATGTGCCTAATATATTCCAAAATCACTGTTATCTCCTGTGTTGTGCTTGGCAAAATGCTAGCTTCTGACATGCAGCCCTACTCAGAAGGGAACTGGCTGTTTTACTTCTCCTTTTAAAAATTGCACAGTATTTACTCAGTTCTCTGTCCAGAAGTCTTTCTCTTGTCCCAGTCCCTTTGGCTGTCAGTGAAATCAGAGATTTTACCCAAACCTTTGCTTTGAAGTTTTTTAAAGCTAGCTGTTTTATACTGAGCAATGCCAGACACAAGACCTCAATGTTGACTTTTACCAGGATACTAATCTTGCGTATCAAGAAGGTGAGATTTTCACCTGCCAGTCCCAAAAATGCTATGTATAATGCAAGTTGTCTACATTTCACAGGGATTACAGGGATTTTCAACAGTATTGAACTCTATGTGAAGCCCAGTCAAAGGTGGGGAAAGGAGGGGGACATGCCTATAAATGCATGTTAAAATTTCACCAGTTGGAAAGATAAGGTTTTTTCCCTAATACAACTCTGGAGTACTGATCACCTCTCATTTGAGAGGAATTAAGATCTATATGTTAGCATGCCCTGTGTAAAACAGCATCCTCTTGTTTGGAGAAAAAGAGTGTGGGATTTCGTAGTGAGAAAGGGCCAGCCAGTCCTAAACCCAAGATTTGTGTCTCTTCATGTAGAAGAAGAGGCTGACTAAAAACCTTGTATGGAACTAGGTACCTTTCTCTAGCTCACATGTAGGAGAGGGGTTGAACTTTTAGAAGACACTAAGTTCTGATCGTCTCTACAACATCTCCTCCTGGCCAGTTGGGGCAGTTCAATGGGCCCCTGCTCCTCTCTAACTTGGGTGCCTGACCCAGAGCTGCAGATTGACCTAGATATCAAGGCACCCAAAAATAGATACTGCTGCACAGTTTTTACACCACTCTAGTCATGTGATGCTTAGTTTGAAGAAATCTGAGTGAGGTAACAGTTCTCTTCCCTTTCTTTCTTTAAAGGTGAAAGAGGTTCACCTGGCATTGATGGTTTCAAAGGAATGACAGGCCTAAAAGGAAGACCAGGCATCAAGGGAATCAAAGGAGAATTTGGCCCACTGGGGGCTCAGGGTGATAAAGGCTCACAAGGAGCACGTGGTTTTAAAGGTATTTGCTTATGGGTGGTACCAGTGTGTTTGCTTTTCACATCTGGAGAACAATTTTACAAGGACACAAAGACAACAAAGACATTTTTCACATCATAAATTTAGCTCAGACATTCCTGACCTATTTCACACATGGGCCTCTGGTGAGAGGCCTGAGTTTTAGGCTCAGGGAAAGGTTACTTCTTTGTGAATCTTTACACATTTAAGGTTGGAGACAGACATCTCATTATTCAGCTGAGCTCAGATGGTGGCACCTCTGGGCATATGCAGAGCTTAACAGAGCCTTTTCTCAGGAAGAGTAAGGTGTTTGGGGGGGGAGATGGGGGGAAGATTCAGATTTTCTCCAGTTGCACTGTAAAGGTACTTAAATACTCAGAAAAACAAGCAATTAAGTAGTTAAAATTCAGTAAAGTTTCAGCTGATATCATCATCAGTGAAATGAAAAGTGTAACTGAGTCCTCTTTTCTTTGTGTGCTTTACCACAGCACCAAAATATTCTTTCCAGGGACCCTGAGATAGG